TATAGCACCGATAATTTCATACTGCATGCCAATATCCCGTTTAGGGTTTGACTACGTTTTTGATACCTGTCCTTGCCGTCAATATGCGCCTATTAGAGACAGCTGATCATTGTTACTAAATGGGATTGGCCGATCTGGCAGTCGCAATTCAAGGTTTTCAAGAAGTTACAAATAATCGATATTTTCACAAGCTCGCAACACAATATAAAAGCGTGGTGTCAACAATACAAATCGAAATTTGGATGTATCGATTCATTGTGCAATAACCTCTCAATAACCAACTTTTAGTTTACTACAGACAGGAGGGGATAATATATTCCTTTTTTCATTGGGATTCCCGGCGTTCTAGATACTTTTTATTTAGTTCGAATAATACCTTTGTTTACCCTAAGGGGGTACGTATGTAGCGTATTATTTCGTAGCGCATAGAGAGAGACTGTTTAGCAGCTAACTACACGCGATGGCTTTACAAAGACCGTTACATTTTCACATTTACTACAAACATTCTTAGTTTCGAGCCTGAAATAATGGCTACTAGGATTTGCTTGGTATTGTATAACTGGATGAGAATGCAAATACTCTGCTTTTTAAATGACAATGATCTGGAAGGTAAATCAGAATCCCAACAAACGTTTCTGACATAAATGTTTGTAAAAAATATTTGTAAATATGATGTTTTTGTGCTCAATAAGCTGCCTCTCTCGTGAACTACAATTTCTGTTTGTAAGGAACGTTAAATACATAATGAACTAAATATCACGATGATACGAAGCGTTATACGAGATTTACGGAAAACTTTAAATCAGGTTCATGGTTGGCGATGTATAGTAGGAGACTGAGGACGTAGTCGTAAGTTGAAGTTTACAGATATTATTGCCACCAAGGTATTTGCATAGTGCGCACTGTAGGAAAAAAATCGAAGTAAGTACAATTGGTTGTCAACGCAAGTGCATGTTTTTGTAAGTTTCAAATTGTAATTTCCCTATAGCACTAAATAATTCGAAATTAAATATAAATAATAATAAGACGGAAACAATAATTTTGGACAATTTTATATAACTAACAACAATACATAGCCTACAATAGGATGCAGATTGATCTGTCGAGATAGAACTCATATGCACTTCCAGATTACACGAGGTGCTCACTCACTTTTATGTTTCTAACGGAGTTTATTTCTTTACGACATACTTAAATAAATAAGTGTCAGCTTAGCTCTATATTTTCAAAACTATCTGCTATTTACTAGTAAACAAGAACAACAGATCAATCTGCTATATCAAAAGAAGCTTTTGGCATCTTCTGTTTACAATCATTCACAATATCACACTCCGGCTAGATAAATCTATCGAAAAAAGCGTTCAAAATTTCCGCCAAAAATAAAAACAAGTAACGATAGCAGACGACACTTTCTCTCTCACAATATATGGCACCTTTTGCTAGAATGAAATACGAAAGTTCAAACATTTCGTGTAATGCGATAAATACACTTACTCTTGCATAAATCCACCTAAATACTTCACTAACAAAACTCAATTTGAACCATCTCTTGAATATTGCTATTTAACTTTTTCCATCTGATAATTTAGCTTCTTAAGACATGCTTATTGACTCTTGAAATTTATTCAATGACTATATTACTTATTTATAACAAATATAACAAATAGTGCTCGTAATTTTTAGTTTTTCCATTATTTTTACCACTACCATCGTACTTGAATTTGTCCTAGCAACTGGGAATTTTATTATAATCTATAATAAAAGAAATTGTTCGAACGTGTGGAATAAGGAAATATAATCGACTGTCACTTATAAGCATTTACACAGTGAATTATGCTTGCATCTAAATGAGCACGTAGTAATTTGGACTATTACTTGACTGCTTAAGTGCTGGGTTGATAAAAAAATGTATTTGTTACCGTAGCATAGTTTTAAAAGTTTCAGTCTTCCTGCAAAATCGCTGCGATTTTGACATGAGAGACGTGTTATTACCTCTTTATTTAAGTGTAGCTGCCGACAAATCATTATCAACTAAGTGTAACGACGAGGTATCTAAACAATGACAAGTGAATCGAATCATCCGGTCCTTATTTATTTCTGATATAAACAGGCGAGTAACGCGCCCTCAATAAGAAGTATACAGATACAAATATGCCCGTATATTTTTAGTATGGATTTTATTATGCGTTTCGCCTAGATTAGGTTAGCGCAAGCAAAGAAACAGGAAGACGATTCAGTCAGGTAATAGGTCGAAAAAAGCAAGTGGAAAAAGTTGAAAAGGGCAGAAATAATATGGCCGTAAAGTATCAAGCAAAAATGTTATAAGTACGAAGATAAAGCAATGATAAAAATTTATGAAGATGGAAATGGGGGAGAGATTAAGGAAACGATAGCATAGAATACTCGTGTACTTATAAATTCATCGTTGTTTGTTTACATGTACATATATGTGAAGGGGATGTGTGCGTACCATATTGGATGATTATAAACTGGGATTTTTAAAAAAATTTAAAAGGAAAATTAAAGGAAAAATACTGGGGAGTGCCAGTAATTTCGTTCGATTCGGTAAATTCGATTAATGAAGTAAGATGTGCTCGTTGCACAAACCTTTTTATGTTCTTAATAACAAAAAATTCTCTGAAGCCTATCCCATTTGATAAATCTTTTTGCGAAAAGTATTTTTCCACACCTTCTTTCATAAAGTGTTGTTAGTTTACTAGTTTTGCAGGAGATTGTTTACTTCGGACCATCGTTACGAAATTTCGTAGTGAGCATTCGATATGTCTTTCCAAGCCTAATTGCAAATTAATTAAACAGGTCTAATGGGCGAATCGATTTTCGCAAAAAGAGCTGAATGTTTCATGTTGAAAAGTATGCCGCAGAAGTATAAGGGAAAATCGGAGCAAAGAAATAATATGAGATAATTTTTTTCGACAACTTACACAAAAATCATGATAACGTAGCTATTTTCTGTGTAAATGTGTGTTAAAAAGTCGTGTTCATAAAAGTAATATTAAATAAGAAAAATATGAAAAAGATACGTTTATGTGGGCAGTCTGACGGCGTATGTACAATTCTTTATCGTATGCTGACGTTTTCCACATATGAACCTAACCTTTTTTCTAGGGATCCAAAGACACAATTTAAATTTTAATGGTCGCCAAAAAAGCAGTCACTCTTTGCAAGTATGAAGGTAATATTTTTCTTATTGGTATTTTTTGGCCAGTGTTTAATAGGTGTAGCCGGCGGTTGCCCCAAAGCTATCTCATAGCTCTCAATTCCGAAATTTTTTCAGTTCTCTATTAGAGAAGCCGTTAGATGCGCCAATGTTTGACCACAGTTAAACCAATTAACTGAACTTTCACAGATTTCATCATTCTTTTTTAAAATCACTAGCGATATATATGCGAATCAATATCCAAGAAAATCCTGAATAGTTCAAACATAGGCTTTATAAAAAGTCAGATATACGAGTAGCGCTGCGGCTCTACAAAGTCGTCTTCTTTAGGCCAAAACCCAAATGTCTCAAGTTCTGCGTGCATTACTTGAACCACTAAGCACGGCAGGCTTCTATGATTAAACGAAGAGTGTCTACGCCCCGTTTCAAAGCGAAACCGCTTTGTATCCTTAAATTCAGTAGGAGCACGAGTTTCCACTGCCCCATCCTGGGGACCAGGCTGAGAACTGCATTGTTACAATGAGTGTACTGACATGTAATGTAAAATAACAAAATTATTCAGTGGTAGTTATAATACCACGTCGTAAAACTATGAAGTAGGAATGCACAACTGTTTAATAAATGCTACACTAAACTTGTGAAAAAGAAACGCGGTATAATTCCAAAAAAAGTTCGCGATTGCCTCGGAGGGGTGAGAGATCAGTTGATGAGAATTTTTAGAAAAAAAAAATGGAAAGCAATTAGTAGAGCAGATAGACAAGCAAAAGTTGCACTGTGGGAAGCGAATGGTCGTCGTATTGCTGCTCAAGTCAAAGCTATGCAAGAATGAATTACGTAAAAAGGAAATACTTTATTTACACTTTATTTGCATTAAAAAATTACTGAACCGATTCTACCAAAAAAAGGTATATAAGCTTTATACGGTGCAATCTTCTGAGCTTTGGATTTTACTCACAAATTTCAATTCTAACTTACCTGTTTAGAACTTGCATAATAGTATCCACAAAACCTGATTTACTGACTGGTAAATTCTGCTATGCCACGGGCTATAGTTGATAACCCCATCGCCGCTGTGGCTGTCGTAGCAATTTAATGGCTTATATAAAGCATGCAATTCAACCTATTTCGATAAAATACGTAGCTAGTGACGTAGTCAGGATTTTCTTTGTAGACTCAAGACAAAAAGCAGTGTATGCTCATAATACACATATACATAGCTGAATTAACCAGATCCAATATGATGCTGAGTAATTTGACCGCTGTAGGCAAGACGCTGTAGGTCCATTTACAGGCGGTAACGAGAACCACACCTTCAGAACTCTAACATTATAGAGGAAACAGCCATATTGTTACGATGTCGCCTTATAGGTACGTTGGAAAAAAAAGATTCGGGTAAACCCAGCGAAACACATACAGAGTGGTGAGCGAACAACCAGGGGAAAAAAGTTAACCCTATGAGGGCTGACACTCTGCCCTTTACGGCAGCCTCACATTGTAGAGTGTCAGCCTTATCTTGCGGGGTTCGTAAGGCTACCTAATGAAAATTGGCTGAAAAGTTGCTGAACAGATCTCATCAAACGAAAGTGGTAAGTATGGCGTAACGCGACTCTGTCGAGGTAGGTGGAAACGATATTTAGGAAGCAGATCACTGAGAAAACGAACTGACATATCACGCAATGAACTACATAAACCTTAAGTCTTGGTGACGTAAATATAGACATAATAAGTATGCGTATCCCTATTGATTACAACAATGAAATTATAGCTGAGTCCACTTCGTAAATATTGTGTAATTGAATTATCAAGCCATATATTTGCGATCTGCATTCATAATTTTAATTCTTTGGCATACATTTTATTTGGCAAAACATCATAGTATAGAAATTTTTACCAAAAGTCTGTGAGCAATAACGAGGTTTCATTCAAAAAAAAAAAAGTCGAATAACAGAATGAATAGAAAAAAAAAGCCGACGATCAAAGGAAACACACATGACAATATCTATCTCAATGAATATGTTATCTCCAATCAAGGGTGCGGAAATTAGATTCAACGATGTATGTAACACAAGAGCCGGTTTTAAATTGATCCTCATATCCGAATTCTTTGTTGAAGACATCATTCTAACACAGAATAGATTACTAATAAAAGCTATATCGCTTTATCATCTTACAATAAAATTTTACACACAAGCAAATTCGCGTTGCTGCCAAACGTAGGCTTTATTCTATCGATTTCGTTAGATTACGGATCGTAAATAAGATTTACGTATTATTTTTAAAATTACACTGGCATTTTCGGTTATACGAAGCGCCTAAATTGTTGAATATGCATAGTGGAATAACCGACATCGCTGAGGTGTTTTGGGATGGGTCATTGGCGTCACGGCTCTACAGGACCATAACCCATACTGGACATGTGCTGTCGATTATGATGGATAAGTTTCCCTGAGGTGTTTATATCAAGGTTGCCATTCTATTCAGTGCTGAACGCGGTCCTGTCCGGAGTGTCGGAACGCACAGAATCTTTAAAAACATTTAGAGACTGTGGATTTTTAACGGAAGCTGATATGTCACGTATTGTGGCTTTAACCATAACAACACCCGAAGGGTTCACACGTACGGCGAGGCGGTCGCTTGGGAAGAGTGTTAAATTTGAGACTTGTCGCTCGAAGAGATCGTTGACTGTATACCCGCCCTCGTAGTTCATACCCATACTTGACAGGGAAACCTAAATATGAGACGATAAAAAGCAGTGGGTATTAGAATTACGCAAAACAGTATTACATTGGATTGATTTCGAACACATGTAACTGTTTCTGGAGTGGTATGATGCAAGCCAATCGTTGACGTCCTTAAGCATATCTTCTAAAAAAACTTGTCGACTAGTCGTAACAGCTAGTAAGCTTGCAAATATCAAAGGCATATACTTTCGATATGGGCTTCATGGGTGGCTGATATTAGATATTAAAGGATTAGTTGCACTAACGATATTCCTACTCACATTAACCAACCGGGGGCTGCCCATGCTGTACCTATTGTGAATAGCAATTGCAGCGGACATCGATCCATCGGTCGCGCGTGGGCCTACGGGACGGATCCAAATTTGGATACTATTCATCTAGAGCGGAAATCACCAAACACATTGTTACTAAAAGAAAAATATAGACTAAAACAACCAAAATATGACCTTTCCTTTATAGATCTTATAGTCTAATATTATATTGACAGTTTGTCGGCTTCGGAACTGCTCCACAAATGGCGAGCTATGAACTACTTTGGAGGCGTTTGGACTTTCAGTGATACTGGAAAAAGTAGGGTTATCTGAATGCACGATCTGGTAGCAGAACTAAAGTGTACGTTAGAACCTGTCAAAAATCTTTTCAATATATTTAATTACCTTGCTATGAATAACCGACTTCCCAAATAGAGACATATGTAAATAGCATGTTGGAAAAACTAATGAACTCACATTGTAAATCTGGCGGCCCATAATGCCATAGAGATCTTGATTAACACCAATAATGGCTTTATTGAGTAGAATCTTCTTGTATTCCGGTCGTATCGATCGCAAATCGGTTGACATGAAGAGTGGAGCTGCTAAAATGGCCCATATGGCCATCTGGGTCTTGGCCTGATCGACTGACAGGCCGAAGTTACCTATTACAAGCTGTTTGCCAAATTAACAACCAAGAGACGTAAGAAATACAAAGAAATAAATCAAAGACATGAAGTACTTACTGGTGTGAACCGTGAGAAGGCCCTGTAGGCTCGTAACCATGCCTAATTATGCGCAATAAAATGCGCATACTGTCAAACTGACATATCAATAGTAAAACGTGATCTTCTACGTCCTATTTTGACCTTTCGTGGTACAGATACCATTTCGAGAGTGTGGATAGCACTCGATTTTAAATTCGACTCAGCTGCGAGCCCAAACATACCATGTCCGGATCGTTCCAAGCACCAGGCCCATTGAACGGTATGAGGATGTCCTGAATCTCCGCGTAGTAGTCCATTATGCTTGTCACACTAGCCCACGAATCACCGATGTCGTCAAAGTTTCGCCATAGATTACAGTGGCGAGAGATGCTTTCATAATCGGGAGTCCGATGCTGGAACTGGTATGCAGGCCATGAACACGAAAAAATAATAGGACGGCCGGATCTGTTCAATGCACGCGTCATTTCAGGATAGACTGCACAAAGCAAACAATAATTTGCGTTAAGGTTTTATAGCAAACGCACACATGTTACAAGGAAGTACAAGAACTAAGAAAATTAAGAATTATGATATGTCGTGAAAAAATACATAAATTTATCTACGAAAATAAGAGTAAATTAAATATAATACAAGTTTATTTTTAAAGATCACGTGTTTATCTAACTGTTTATGATGCAGTATAATAGTAAATGACATTTAAAACCTTGCTGAACTGTTGAGCTTTAATGAGTCAAAATTTGACATGTACTTTGGTCCATGTCCTCTTCATTTGCGTAGCACCCATCAAGTTTTAACATGTCTACACCCCAGCTGGCATAAGTCTTTGCGTCCTTGTCGAAAAACCCTTGACTTCCAGGGTAGCCTCCACAGGTTTTCGTGCCGCAGTCCTGGTAGATACCAAGCCGTAGGCCTCTGGCATGGACCTACAAAAAGGTTACGTCTATTTAATACTATGCTGACAGTAATTTTGCTATTGTCTATTTAATACTATGCTGACAGTAATTTTGCTATTTAGTTCTAAGTATCAGTTCATTTGTATAAATAAAGGTTTCGTTAAAAAGTTAAAATAATGTTATAAATGTCACCATTTCTAGATAGTACCCACATAGTTGGCAAGCCATTGGATGCCATGTGGAAAACGCGTATAGTTGGCTTGAAGTATTCCGTCGAAGTCGCGTTTATCGGCCATCCAGCAGTCGTCAATATTCACGAGATCATAGCCAGCATCGAGGTATCCCTCCAAAGCCATAACATCAGCTATTGAAGTATATAAGCGTTCGCTGGAAGCACAGGCTATTTATAGGTGGTTAGCAAGACCAAAAGTTCACCCTGTTTAATATGCAGATTTCTTTTTATTATGTTTGGATTCGATTCACTGACTGAGCTAAGTCTCAGATAAACGCCCTGTTTCTAGTGTCTTTAACAGCTACGAAAAGCCAGCCGTACTATAATATTTAGTGTTTTTGCGCAGTTTGAAAATCAAAATAATTTAGGTATAATCGTGCAATAAAGGTTGAGTTAAATGTAAAATTTCACGCAGTGTTAACACAACAAAAAAGCTGCCCTTTTAGGGAAAAAGCCAAGAGTTATCAATTTCAACCGATTTTCAAATAAATAAAAAATCGGGAACGCATAATTTATCGACAGCTGCCATAACACAAGGTAACTGATTTTGAGGTTTGAAAACAGGACGTTAGCTCATTTCAGCTTGTACAATTATGTATGAGCCTTATTTTATTTTACCAACCTGATGCAGGAGTCCGGATATGCCTTACAATCGACCTGGCACAAGAATCTTTCCCATGAGAGCCAGCCCATAGGGGGCGTAAGGGCCAAACCGTTGTTGAGACCGGCCACACCGAACTGGTCTTTGTTTGGTGCGGTAACCCAAACTATTGGCAAGATCCACAGTCTATTCAGTGACCAACCCATTTTGATCCTTTTTGTGTTTACCACCCTATTATCTCTACAACAAGAAGCCAAACAAATCCGTTAGTTATTTTCGTTGGGGAACAAAAGTCGAAATTTTCGACGCCACTCTTCAAGAAACTTATTAAGCCAGGATAGTCGTATATTTGTACACGAAATTCAAACTAGTGTTAAAGTAAAATTCTTAGACAATACGGACTATTGTTTAGTAGGGCATTGAGGCTCGTTACTCGCTGAGGACAGAGGAATCCACATATCCTCGAGGTCAAATGCCCTAATTCTTCTATCGAACAATGAGACTATATATATATATATATATATATATATATATATATATATATTATGCTTTACGCTAAAATGTATTACAAATGCTATGCGAAACGTTATAAGAAGAAGCTTTTATGCTGCCAGCTAATCGCTTCTACTAAATAAAAATCCACATTAAATAATAATAGTAGAGTAAATCTGACCACTATAACACTTAATTTTAATGAAGTAACATAGGCAAACATTTTGAACTAACCTCTATTGTTTGAAGGTACGAAATTAAGACAACGAAGACGATTCAGCGAACCTACCCAGTACTATAGAAGATGGGTTAAGATATTCCGTATAAACTTTATAGTAGATCAATTGAATTCAGTTGGTGTCGTGTGGTTTTCAACCAAATGCAAGAGAATTTCTTGGTACTGTTCCGTTAGTGAACTCCTAATTAACACGCGGCGCTCTTATGTCCTCTCTAGCTGAGGCCTCGACAAAATCTGGGACCTTCTAACACATTAATCAGTGCTATACATTTCTGATACGTTCTGGTAGCCCAATGAGAAGTTATCAGCCGGTTCGATAGAGTCGTGTGCCACGTTACCTTAAAGAATGAACTATAATCGTACAGTATAACGCTAAAGTCTGCTTTTTAGCTGCTATAAGCAATCCCACTGGAAAGCGTTGAGATGTATACTGTAGATTTACTAAACTCGATTCTCTGTAATGTCGTGGCCTCGCTTAGTAGGCCATGTAAAAACTATTCCGACCACAAATACGAGCATCGGTTTCGTCGTGCATGCAATAATGTTCCATTTGTGTGTATAATGATTTGGTATGTGTTGTGAGCCGGCTTGAGCCTTTTCCTGGAAGTTTCGGGAGAAACATTGCTAGCTAGTTGAAACCCACAAACAGCTCCCTTAGACTGTATAAGTCTGGGTAAAGGTCAGTGCTACAGACTGCATGAATATTCGTAGCCGTTTTAGATACAGAAGAAACACGAATGAACTGATTTCCTCTTTTTTTTTTTTAATTTTTGGAAGTTTTTTTCTTTTAAATTATACAGTCTTATGAAGCGCGTGACTTAGTGGTTTACTTATTCAATATAACGTACTCTTATCGGGAACTATTCATCCAAATGTACGTTTTAATATCTAACAATATATACGTTAAATAATATTGCGGAACGAACCTCATCTGTGTTTATGTTTAATATGTTTGCGCAGAAATATATACCTGGAGGAAGCTTGTTGTAAGGCCAATTTTAAAATACGTTTATTCAAAAAAATCCTTTACGTCAATTGGTATCTCGTCATGTTAGTCACTTGGCGACGCGTTCCTTTACAAAAACTGCCAACTGACAGACGGTACAGATCAGAATCACCGGCTTAGCGCACCGAAAACCACTCACCTCATAGATTATCAATCAATATTCTACAAATCACTATCATTCGATTCAGGACCATCACAACAGAAATATTGATTCGATCACTAACAACCTATTGATGATCTGGCACTGACCTTTTCAACGAGGGCAGAGTACACCCGGTTCATTGTTACCGGCCATCGACAACGCGACGGCACTGGTCGGTCATCGGCTCGATTTCAATAAGAGAACAGTTTGTAATCGGTTGTTGACGGTTGTGACCCGCACAAACGGCGGGAGTTTTCTCTGTATGTACCACACAAACCGACACAGCACTAGAAAGCTCAACCTCTGGCTATCCACACGCGACCGAGAGGAAACACGTCGTTCAACGTCGCAGCTTCATTGAACCGAATAAAAAAGCTACCGAAAAGTCTTTTCCCCACTCACTTTTTATCGGAGCAGCTGAGCCATAGCTATCACTCGCACGGGCACATTGTAATTTCAGAACTATAACTTATATTTTTATCGCTCTTAGTTAAACAAATCAGGCTAACTTGTTGTAGAATAGAACAGACCTGTATTTGTATAGGCAGGCGCGTTCGTAGCTGGCAGACACTGGAGTAGCTTGGATCCTAAAAGGTTAGTGGTTAGTTGATTCGCGTCGTCATAAGCCTAACGTCGCATGAGCTATCAACACGTAAATTCGGCGATGTTTTATAGAGGCTTGAATGGCGGGGCTGTCTTTCTTGAAGAGGATGCCACAACGAAACGTTCTGAGAACAATGGCAATTCGTGCTTACCAAAGGTCTACAGCCGCATCTCAAGAGTATCACTCTTTCCCCACTGCTTTTTATCGGCATATTATCAACGATACTGTCCTTTCGGGTCTCCACGGATTTAGCCGAAAAGGCTAGGGCGGTCGTGGCCAAATCCGCTAACACACTTCGCTGCGTATTGTTCAACAATTACATTCGGCCAAATATGAACTATTTCTACTTTCAATCAATTTAGCATACAGTGTTTAATTACTATTTCGTGGGAAGAAGTGTTGATTTTTTTTTTTATTTATTGAATGTTAGATTTTGCTATTGCACGCGTTGAATTATACAGAAAGAATATAATACGTTTCAGTTTAATGAACCAAGAATAAACCGAATAAATTAAACAGTGATATGATTTTAGTAATAGCATTGAAATAACTATAGGGGTGCTAAAATCAGCCGGAATAAGCTTTTTATGGTTCTTTAAAAATCATGTATAGAAATATAAGGTTTTGCGTCCTTGTAAGGTTGTAATATAAGGATATTTTTTTATATTAACTATGCTATTTCCTACGTCCGTTACCCTCTGTTATGTCGTTTCTTTATGAGAATCTACTATATTTGAGATTTTCTATGTTTGATTATGTATTCTGAAGAAAACAATTTCAATACCTAGATAAAAAAATATGAGGCGCCCTTACTGTTCACAACATAGCGGAAGTACCTCAATATTTTTCCTCTAACTAATCTATCTACGATAGAAGTTGACGCATGAATAAAATGTCCGTTCAACTGATGGTTGACAATCATGATCTATTATAATATATATTAGCGCCTGTTTTTTCGGATAAATATAGGTATACATAGGATAAATACACAAGGTGGTTGTATCTCGAAGCTCTGCCACTTGTAACTATCCACTGTAATTAGAAAACATATTTAGGCGATACTATATACCAGTATCACCACACCGATTGGCAGGGTGCCGTGAAAGAACAGCTCGCAAGGCGTTGAAGTATAACTTCTTCACGCCAGGAGGCGGTAAGGCAACCAGGCTCGGCGGATTGAAAAGCAAAGAACTACCATCAGAAGCGCAGCAGATAAAAACGAATGCATATCTGCTCCGAAATGTGAAGATCTCGGTCGATCGGTGCTGAAGGAATGGAAATCCAGACAGTCATTGAGACAAACAAGGGCACCATCAAGCTGAAGGTTAAGGAACCAGAAGCAAATATGATAAAAATGTAATAAAAAAAAAAAAATAAACCTAGTCACCGTGGCATTTCGTGACCCAGATTATACAGCGACTGAAAAGAATCTGCAACGCGCTTGAGGAATAGCTCGGGAAAAAGATGGAGAGCCCCAGCACCGCTTAACCGCAGAAAAATCGGTTCGAGGCATGGATAGCAATTATTCACTAACAGAAACGGGAGAAACCAGAACAAAGGATATTTCAAAAACAGACGACATGCCGTGCACGCTTACAACGGTCGGGACTTTCTCGACGGCTAGGACGCTTGCTACTGGCGTGGAATTAAATAATATGTCAAAAAACTGCACGCAGGGTTATCCCACATTCCACACAAAATGGAAACACATCGGGCCACTTCCTCAAACTTCAGGGAATGCATCGAGGTAGAAAAAAACCTGCCTCAGGAGCCCCTAGCGACGATACAGGCATATGAAGCTACAACTTTGGTGGCAACGTCACCAGTGACAGGTAAGATACGAGACAGCAGTCAATCCCAGGAACCCGCAGTCCCGCATAAGAGAGACCACTCAGGTAAGCTAACATCCAGCTGTCGGATAAAAAGGCTACAGAGGGCAAAATTAATAATCAAAATCGTTTTTTTCTGGGTACTCCAAGTCAATCTTTAGGCGTCGCGACTTCTATGACCTAATGAAAAGCTCAGTTTTAAAGTGAGTTATCGACAAACAGCTCGCTTCCAGAAAAACAATGGTTGCTATAGGATTAAAAGCGTTGCAAAGAAAGCTAAGTCAACTTCGCGCAAGCGAAAAAGAGTTGGCCTGGCTATGACGAATGGCCGCGGCTTAAGGTAATGACGACCTTGTATTTCTAGGAGCAGCTGCCTATAGTAGAGTATATGACCTTGTATTTCTAGGAGCAGCTGCCTATAGTAGAGTATATGACCTTGTATTTCTAGGAGCAGCTGCCTATAGTAGAGTATATATATATATATATATATATATATATATATATATATATATATATATATATAGAGCAGTAGCACTACGAGCGAACGAGATGCGGAGTGGCTCTTGAAAACGACCTGCGCATGCTAAACGATGGCCAGATTCCACTTTTACAAAGTAGGACAATCATTTCTGAACTTGCCTCTGTGCAGCCAGAAGGTGGCCAGTTAAAAGGATTAACTGTAAGGAGGTGAGAGCCGACGTTGGGGAAGCCACATGAGCACCCTATATCCTACAGACCTCGATGTCTACTAAGTACGGCTGAAAAAGGTGTTTCAAAGGCTCGTTTCGAACCAACTAATGACAGAGATGACAATAGCAAGTGCAGATCTTTTGTTTTTCCTCACACGGAAAGCATCACATCGTTCGTTAAGCCTAGTAAATACCTCCGTTGTATTCAAATTACCGAGATATTACTTATATTTCGTGTAATATACGTTATATAAAATGCAGATGCGCGGTTGTTTTCACTTTTTTTTTAAATTGGGTTTTAACTATAGGTTGGCCAGGGCCTTTATAAACCTAACGCTTTGCCAAGTCTACAACCATACCAATTAGATAATTTTTCCACACGAAACACATTCTGCGTCATTGAAATCTATATAACTATTACTATATGAAGGCCTACAGATTTCTCCTTAAGACAGTTATCCTTTTAGGGCACTAAACGATAAAAAAAAGAGACAAGAAAGAAAAAGAAAAAGAAGAATCTTTTTTTGCTTCTCACGATACATGAAATTTCATAGCAAGACAGATTCAGGATCGTGGAAATAATAGATTTTCGTTTTGAGGATCTCATTGTACGGGGAAATTGGCTGAAACTAATGAAGGGTGACAAATCAATTCTGGCGCTTGTTAACAGAAAATCTGTCGGTAGAACCTTTGCGCGGTACAGCTCTATTGCGATTCGTTATATTCATAGTAACCAACTGCTGAGCCGTCCTAGGCGAGAACGTACAATATACTACTTGAGTGATCAATAGATATCGCTCCGGCAAAATACTGAAAAAGGACAAAAAGAGGACATTTAGGACTGCGTCTTGTAGTACATCGAGATTCTTAGGGTTTCAGCCTGCCGTTGAAGAATTTCGGCAAGCCTTGCCAACACTTGAAATAGTCTTTATCCACTTGCTCGCAACCTTCTTCAGCCCAGCGGGTTAGACCCATTGATAGCGACGACTCAAACATGAACGCCTAAAATTAAAGTTTTTCATTGAAGAGATACATTGTCTATTTATCTTCATTATTTATCGGAAAGTATGAGCTATACGTAATATCCGTTAATTTTCTATGTGTCTTCTGTAGATGTTCGGTATCAGAAGACCAGTGATGATTCAGGGTGTTAGTAACTTTGAACTATGCTCAGTTTGTAAATGGCTCTATAACGATAGATCAAATAGTCGTTAATCTATGCATCGTTAACCTACCATTGAATTTTCTGCAACTCTCACTGGTTTGAGTAATGCTTCAGTTGCCTGCCTAAAGCAATTAACGTCCGGTCCGTGTGGTGTCATCATTGAATGTAGAGTAGCACCGCCTGGCTCAAAGCCCGCCTCTTTCGCTTCGTACGAACCGCTTATTAGTCCCATGAATTCGCTCATGCAATTACCTTTATTGTACCAGGACATCAAAAGTAGAATAACTGAATCTTAAAATTCACTATAGCCTTCCACTCATTGAGTTCTTGCCTGAAAACAATGGCTATCTACGTATGTGTGTGTTTGTGCGTGTACCGTTTACGCATATCAGTGGTACTTACGGTGATAATAGGGTGGTCGAAAAGTTCTCTCAGCAACAGACCAACGGGGAGGGAAGATAACGAAGTCGGCAATGGCAACCCCAGGTTTTGTTGAGGGGCAAGTAAGTACAGTGAAGATTGATGGGTCCTAAAATGTGCAACAAAAACAAAAACATTTACGGCTCATGTAAATGCTTTGGTAGATGATTTCTTCTAGAGAAGTGGAAAACAATCGTCTACGTACACGCTACATGCTACGGAATTGCTAGTATACAAGCACGGAGTGCACAAAAAGCCTACGCACAGAAGAGCGACTGCGTTCAACACCTCAACGTTTTTTTTTTAAATGGAACTATCGTAATTAAGTAATTTTTTGTACAGGTTTTGTGAAGTACTCAACATCAACTTACGCAATGGTCAACGGAGACCGAATTAACTGCCACGAACTTTGTGAGATCGTATTTGTACGGGACAAAATTTCCGTGCCATGCGACAACGTCAAACGGTGAGTGACTCTGTGTGGTGGCGAACAACTTTCCCTGATATTTGTTGATAAGTGTATACATGACCCCGTCTAGGTCTTCATACCTTTACGCGACGCATGTAGATAAGGCGGAGAGTTAGATACAAGAATAATTAATTAGAAGTTGGTACCCCACGTACCTGTTCAATCGTATTCAACCTGACAATCGTATATTTCAAATATCTAATACACAGTAATAATGAGTATCACCACCCAATCTAATTTTAGCATACGGTTGCATGCGTTTGTCGTGCTGTAAAACGGTATACTTAATATTTTTAACTACTTTAGTACGGAACGGACAATATATGGATGGAGTGGTTCTTGAGTTTGTTTTCCTTGACATGCACCGTCGATGACGCCTGTACAGGCAACTGTTGGACGGCACCCAAATACGCCATCTGGGTGCACATATACATGTTCATAACTTAGTAAGAAGAGATGAAAAACAAAGCCAAGTAATAAAGATCATATTAGAAACGTTTTTATACGTTGTCGGCACATAAGCTCGCTTCGAGGATGTATGTCCCCATGAAGGTTAAATGCTGAGCGTCGTTTGGCAAACCTACCACGCCACTGGTGTTAGAAAGTCTCGAGGATTGGCAAGGCCATTCGCACCAATAGGCCCCAAGTGTGGCAGGACAAAGTGTCCGTCGTATACTTCGAGGACGTACCCACGTGACGGGCCGTTTACGGAGATGCTAAACCTCATCCCTTGCTGTGCTTGTAAAACAAATGAGTAAAAATGATAAGTAAACAAAGCTAGTGAAATAACCATTCAGACTTGCTTCTATACAGGAGTACTTAATACGTTCCTATAGACGTAAGATAGTTTTAGTATTTAAAACTGGCTACCAACCTGGATGACGCAGATCTCATTGGGTTCGACACGCATTCTGCCAAATTCCGTGGTGATTTCGAGCGTGCCCAACTCTGGCACTATGAGAAAATCTCCATCTGCATTTTGAAAGGCTCGACGGTCCATTGGCGAACAGCAAATGTAGATGTGAATTGCTAAGCCATGCCTCGAAAGTGGGTCGCCAGCTCCGCATATCGTGTTCAGGCCCTAGGTACATGACGATATGCGTATAGTTTATATTATTATTATTGAAACTGACAAACAAATTTCACCCATAAGGCAGTAAAGACGCAATAATAATTATTCAGACACGACAGTTGCCTAGACGGATGCTAGCTCTAGCTTTCAAACGTTACTCACATCGATAAAATCAACTTTTTGACCCCGGGTTCCATCTGGTACGGGAAATGGACGCCACCGTATCTGATTGGGGTTCGGAAACTGATTGCGCCACGCATCGCTCAGGTTGTTCGTTGTAAGGAAACGTTCGAATGGTACATGCAATACCGAAGGACGGATTCGATACAGCCAACTGATGCAAGGAAAGCAACAATCGATTATAATAGCTAGAAAAAACAGTACCATGATTTTTAGGTTTAAGACCATCGTTGGTTGGGTTTGTACAGTCCAATATTATGGCTTCTACTTGCACGGATTCACTCCCCATAGGCCGCACTAGATGCTTTGCATAGAAGAATCCGACAACAGTAGCCCATCACAGAATTGAAAACCTTCTAGATACGATATCTTTTACCTCGTGAGGAAAATATCATGAGAACGAATGCATTGAAGCGTTCAACAATCGTTAATCGCGATGACTCTACAATACAATTCCCACCGAGCTACAGACGTTTATGCCATTGCCGCGACCCTTAGCATTAGGATAGGTTTACTTTTAACTGAACCGCCTAGATAATTATTTTACTATACCTGCGCTTGTTTATTTCTCTGGGCGAAGTGAACGAAGTTCCAGACAATTGCTCCGCGTACAGGCCGTATGGACATTTTTGAGGATTATTTTGGGCATGAGGTAGGGCGCCCGGACATCGCGGGTCCTCGCTGCAAAACTCGTTTCCAAAACCCGACTTGTACTGAAAAAGCAAAGTGTAAAACGTAACACTGACGTATAACATCGCAGCTTCGCGAGTGCTCGTACCATGGCTGACATTTCGTCACCTTTTCTCTCTATTACAAGAATAAACTGACCAAGTACGAAGGGTAAAGCTGTTCAGCCAGATATATGAAAGTTAGATAGTGTGAGACCAGCGAGTTAAGAGAGGCATTTTTGTCGTGAGACAGACGAGTTACGACATTTTTGTTCATATGCTGCTCGTACATCTGTGTTTGCGTTTCGCAGTGAAGGTTGCAATTGTAAAAGGTTTCCGAGTTTCGTTCTATACTAACGTTCAGCATCATTGCTTTAAGCTTAAATGCTACGGCAGTGCGCAATTTACTACAAACGAAGATGCTTTAATTATCAAATCAAGAACACATTTAGGTCTCATTTTTACCTTAGGTAACCGGCAACGTTAGGACTGTTACGGAATACATGAATTCAGTAGTGGGGTGGCCATTTTTTTTTTCTTTTAACGAAACAACGTTTGGGAGGTACGGGAGGCCATTCACTCCTCTGATCTTCGCACACTGCTTTGTTAGATAATGAGTTTTATCTTAATAAAAGTTCCCCACCTTATTCGTAAGCTAGGTTTCAATGATTAAGCTGTAAATACAATGGCGTGAATTCAAGATAACAGGGGGTCGCCGCGGAATGATATTACACATAGTACATACTACTAGAAAATATTACTGAACTGTTTTTGGTTTACCTTGAGGTGTTGCATGGTGCTCCGTCTGTTGAACTGCCTCGTTGGTCGCCGTTTACTTTCGGCAATAGAATAACATTCACGATCTATATCGTTCACGATTACTCGTGACTAAATGCAGTTAAATAGGATTGATGATTGTACAAACAAATTACTCTCCTTGTTCAGCCTCAATAATGGCAGCGCTGCTGGTGAGAATGCTTTTAAACGTTGAGACCTGTTGCGAGGAGATAGTGGACCAGATAGAAGGTGAAGAGATACAAGACCTAGTGATAGTCATTACCGGCTCCCAGCTTCTACTGGGGAGAGGTAGGAACGTTAGTGGAAGTCTGCTGGTAGCTGTAATAGAATGAAAATAATGATAAACTCGCATACGGTGCATCAAATGAAGTACCCTTACCCTAAATATATTGTCTTTTCCGTATGTTTAGAGCATGTCGGCGCCGACTGAGCAACAGGAATTCAAAAAAAAAAAAACCCACGATAACAAATCTCTTCGAGATTAGAGGGAACGGGTGACAACGCGTGAAGCACAAACTGATGAAATCAATAGGCGCTATATAATGAGTACTGTCTCGTTTATATAGCGCTTATTGACGAGCGATATTTCATTCTTCAAGCGAGTCATCTCTCTTTTAAGTCTTTCCTATACAGGTGTTAAATAATACAACAGTTATTTAACATAGAGGTTAATCGGTCGCAGCCTTGACGTTGTTTTACCTACCATTATCTCACCATAGAACTGGGCAGGAACTGCAAATTAGGTGTTATGCATGAATTTGCATTGACGTTACCCCTCCTCCCCTCCGTTAAAAAAGAAAAAAATTTGGAGACTTGTAATAGTCTCCAAATATCGTGTATTGGTCTATGAAAAGAACTAACCTTAAAGTGGTTCATGTTGTAGTCGTTTTCCGTATTGAATCAAGGTTTTCGTACCACTTGAAGTTGTCGTGCACGGGCTAGTAATATACTTGCACTTCGTTGCCCTAAATAACCGACAGGTGAAAATCTGACGAACCAGATTTCTCAAAATTCCTCTCTATATAATGTATACATAAATACACTATGCTCCGTTTAGGGTAATAATAGCTATTCAGTCTCTTCTTCTAAAATAAGTCGATTGTTTTTTATAACGTATCTCTGTTAGCTATTTCTATCAATATAAACGTTGCTAAAACGTTTTTCAGGGCTGTCTCTTAACTATCCATTCTATGAGCGTTGGGGTCTTGAAACTGCTGTAATATATCCAGAGCCCCAGGGACTTGTCAGGGTACCAGCAATCCGGAAGCACCGTAAATATACGGACATGGATAACAATATCTAATGCGTATCTTCTCACTTAGATGTTTCATCGTAGGACGAAACCATTTTTGTAAACCTGGTTTCAAACCTACGCATGAACTTCACATGTTTCTATGATAAGTCTTACAGTTCCCTATCATCTGGATAAGTACACACTCCTAGCGTATCTCAAATCTGGGCTACAAAAAATCAGAATATGGCACGTCGAACGAAGTATAGCCTGACAATGGCGTGTTACTCGTGGATCCGTACCTAATATGAAACAGGTTTATCTGATATTTGTACCTATTCGCATATTCATCCCATGTAACTCATTAATCTTGTACCTATTGCCAGAATAGCGGAGTTTTCCAATCAAAGCTGATTTTTCCTTGAAACTAGGCTCCTTGCTTTACCCGTATAGTTCAGAATCGCAAAAGCTCCTGGGTACGAATTACGGCGTTGGTTGCGTCGTGCCTAGTACATACGATACTGAGTATTACACTAAGGGGCGAGGGTATAAGTAATGGTATTTTTTTTTATTTCGCAAGGATCATTTAGGTGCACATTGCGGAAGCCGGTTAAGACCAGTACCTTCGCCAAAGACCTATTGTCAGCTTTGATCAATCGCAAAACTTTTGGTTTATCTAAGTTCATACTTGCGTGCATAGTCAGGTAGTCTCAGATTGTTCTCAGCGTCGTACACAGCCCTTTCACAGCGAAAAGCTGGCGAAAGTTCGACCTGGCCTGGATTTCTATGCTAAGTTATAAATAGCTGACAGCGCAATTCGACTAAGAAGTTAAGATCAGAGTAAAAAAATTCTTAATTCTCTCCTAAATGGCCGGTTTTAAAGCCTAGGTAAAATTAGCTTCAGATCTACTTTTTTCACTTTCAAAGCGTTACCCTAGACGCAATTACGTTTTATTCTGAAATCATCCACTTTGAAAAAACTATCGATTGGTATTAACCTACAATAGGTTTTCGTTTAAAATAAGATCAGATATTGTTTACGGACGTATTAATAATAGCACATGGTTCTGTAAGGCGTCCTAGAAGAGTAAAAAAAAAATGGTCAAACCACTGTTAGCTTAACAATGCTGATTGTTTACCGGAGACGTCAACTACGTATGATAAATAATTACCGGATTCGGGGTGTATAGGTTGGAAAAATCGTCTTGTTGGTAATTTCGGATCTTGTATCTATGCCAAGGACTAGTTATGCGTCAAGGGTGGGCGTTTATTCAGTTACTGAATAGAATTAAAAAATTGTCTTCTACAAAATAACACTGGAAACCACATTATTCTCGAGACACGTGTCGGCCTCTTTTTTCGAGATATTGGATTGTCTATATCTTTTGTTGGTTCCTGAGTCCTAAGCAGCTCTCCAAGAGCGTAGAAAATAAAATACGCAGAGTCCGGATCAACATGTCAGTTAGAAAATCCTCAGAAAAAGATTGTGTTTTATATTTCTGGTACGTTTTAAATAAGAAGATTTGCGTTTCATGTCGACGTGAGCTTGAACATTATTTGCTGCTGTAGATATACAAATCTAAGCCATATAATTACTATATCACGTAATACCTTTGACAGAGGCAGTATTTTAGGCATCTGAACGGGTTACATTTATATATATGCTTATGCTAGAGTTAAAACATAATTTTTTTCTCCAAAAAGAGAAAAATTGTCAACAGTCGGAAATTTTACGACCAGACGTCCACTTTGCATAGGAGCATCCCTTGGTGTCCGCTCTTCTGGCTGTCTATTAGTAGATAATTTTTGCCACTATTCTATAGATATAATAGAGAATATTATATCTATAGAATAGTGGCAATATCTATCTATCTATCTATAGATTCTATAATAGATTAGCATTTTTTGTTACTTAATGTAACTTTTTAATGTATAACTTTCTGTAACGAAGCTGTATTTTCGTTCGCCGAGCTGATACACATAGATATACCAGGATTGCCTAGTCCTATGTAGACACAGTAACAAATTAAGTCTACACAACTGTCGAAATCTGCTTTCTTTATTTGTTATTTTTAGGAGATTAGCGACCTATAGCGGCCTACCTGGTCCGATCAGTGATGCAATATGACGATATGGGATTCGAAATGTTTTTATGAGGATCGGTACATGCAGATATTGACTCACGGTGACGGTTTTATTAAAACTGTTCAAGTAATAGATATGTTTTTTATTTAGATAATTAATTGTTCTGAATTTTGAACAATTGCGTAAAATCTAATAATGAAATTGATCGCCCTTCCGCGTCTTCGTCCTACTAAATTGGGTTAACTGTTTTTGAAAAGTTAGTGTTAATCTGTGGAAACTATGTCATCTATTTGTATCGATTTTTGATAGGGCTATTCCTTATTTTGTTGATTTTACCTAATCGAATATAAGATGTATGTACATAGGTTCTTCATCATATGAATAAATTTTGGATCTATAAACAAAACAAACAAATTCAGCGATAAAGCGTGCCTTTAGTTATACGCAAAATAAGAAATAAAAATAACGTTGAAGAAATGGTGTGTTATTGTTTTTGGTTCCATTTCTACTTCTTGACTTGACATACACAGATTGGTTGTAAAAAGCTAAATAGAGGATACTGAAAATCAAGGAAATCCTGCCCTTGAAGATCCAACAATACAATTCTCTTGTCCTCATCGTATAACTAACGGCAATTGAAAAAGATCGTATTTTCTTGTAGTGTATCGTAACCGGACGGACCATGAACAAACCGTCACCAAATCGATAGCTAATTTATTTCATACAAAAACACGTGAAAACAGTTCGATGAGTGTGAATATAAACTATTCAAGCCCGTGGCGATATACTGATAATTTTTGATACATTTTACTATTATAGCGACGCTTCACGTAATATATAATATAGTAGTAGCTCCTTCACATAGGGGCTTCGTGTCTTGAAGTTTCGTGTTCACCCATTCTTCGCCTTGAATCGAGGGCATTGGCCTCCAGGATAGGGCACTCGCGTTTCAGTTGATCACGTAGCCGTTTGCTGCTCGAATGTATTCTGTCTTTCATCCACTGTGCCGTCGGAACACCTAAGTAACGTTTATTAGCTGCAGCATGAACCTAAGACCACTGACGATTCTGCTCCGGCATACAAGGCAGTACAAGTTCGACTCTTCTAATGTAGCCCGTCTTAATCTGTTGCTAGAAAAATGGTCTTCAGTCAACGAACTGACACTTCAGTTACACTGATTGTACCGCAAAAATAGATGTTTGTTCTCGTTGAAAACAGTGATATGTCGTTGGTGCTATGGTCGACCGAGACAGAGCTTACCATTCGTTCCTCTATTTAAACACTATCCAATATATTCAAGTAGATGCTTTGAGGCGTTCAAGCGATGAATGTCTCAAACTGTCAGAAAAATCTAAAAGGAAGTAGAGCGAAGTATCTAGTAAGTTTTCGTCCATGTAAGCAATAAATAAATTATTTTCAAAAAAGTGTTGATCTTGTCGTGAATGATAATGATGATCCTTATGAAAAGAATATGCAAAAAGGATTATATGTCATAATAAATCTTAATGTTGCTAGCCACCTGTCACGATCAATGCTGTAATTATCATGCATCATAGCATTATTATTGTTATTTTATAATTATATATATATATATATATATATATATGTTTTATATGTATAATTTCATCGGCCTGTGTTACTGCTTCGATAAAGGGGATGCACAATTACCTAATCTCTGTACTTACTCTTCATAACCGTTTCGCAGATCGACGTTTGTCGGGCACGAAGTGTATTTTTTGCCAATTTTAATTCGTATACTTAAAACTTGCCTAAAACACAGAATTTACCATTGCACATTAGGGCATTATAATTATAGCATTTGTAAAAAAATTTGACCAGGTGACAGTGCTTTAGTAAGAAAGGATCTGAAATGACATGGTCGATACACGCATAGGATTGAAGTTATGTAGTGACGCGCTTTAAGATTTTTTTATTTAATTATCAGGTAAAAACTTGATACTAAAAAAACAAACGCTTAATATGCGAAGCTGGAGTTCTGGAAAATTCGAATTTCTGAAAAAAGGAGCTGTCTATAATTTTCAGGTATCTGAAGCCCACTTTAACAAATGTAAATTACCTACTTTAAGCAGCCGCATATGTGTTTACTATATCTGTTTGGCAACGGATTCATCAGTAAAGTGTGGCGTCCTACTGCAGGCAACCCGATCTGGTTCGAAACAGCTGTTAGCGAGTTGACGTCTTAATAAGGCGTTGACATTCGCGTTAACGACCATTGAGTTACGGCGTCGACAGCAACGATCAGACGGGTTCAGAGGACTCAGTCTGTTCGTTATTTCTGATATCGAGCGAGGATTCGCAAGGCTTTGTTCACTGAAAGGTCTAACAACAGCTACAGTTTGTTCAGGCTCGTTGCCTGTGTTGGCTTCGTCGATTGGCTCCAGGCTTCTATTAGCTGCCTTAGGTACCCACACGATGCCTTTCGAAAACTCTTCTAACCTAAATCTAGCTAAGAGCATTTAGAACTTGCACCGCCTATCGAGCTGCGGCGACTTCTATGATTGGTTGGGATTCGTCTTACATCAGTCGCTATTTTTTTAGTAATAATAAGAGAATAAATATACCTGCAATGAGATATCTGTGACGTGGTGTAAACCTTTTATTAAGGACGCGTATCTAACGATTACTTGCAGGCGCCAATATAGTGAATCCTAAATGTTTAGTAATTATGTTGATGAACCCTTTTGTAAAGGCATCTAAGTCTAGGTCTCTATGAATCTATTTCTGGTAGTTATATGCTTGGATATGGATAACGAGTAATTGCATCGTTTAGCTTGCCGCTGTATTATGTTGTAGTTTAGTTTGCTTGAATTTCAGTGGATGTAGATTATCTTCAAGCTGTGTGCTGAATAGAAGACTGTAAACCAATGGGTGAACTTTTTTAGTACTTCGTTGCAATATCAGAATACTTGTATCGTCCTCAAATTTCCATATTACCTTACAATCAAGTAGAAACTACTTTAACCTAAAGGGGTGACCTAAAAGGGACTGGCACACACTTTGATCCCTTATAACGCTGAAATTATATCTACGAGATGCGGTATATATGAATGACTTTGGTGCATGATATGTGAATGCGTAACGCAGTTATATACATATATTCATCAGATCGGCTAAGACAATCATGAAGGACTCAGGCCGACTGCAGAGGTACCAGAAAGATAGGGCCAAGTTACGATATCAACGTTTACGGTTGTTTACAGAATGAAACGATACGTTGACCCATATATCGTTCCAATGTAACTGATCTAATTTTGGTCACAGATGTTGGAGTAATTTGTATATTTACGTAGTACCATTCACAGTTAGACAAGAGTAAAACGATACTAACTTCAAACAACAAGTCACGTATATTTCACGAATCGGACGCAGGGTATTGAACCTCATTGTATCTAGCGTAGGTGTATATCCATCAACGCGGCATAAGCACAATGGAAACAAAGCTAAATATATTAATACAATAAATTAGGTTCAAATGTTTATTTTTTTAGCTCGGGAGTCGTTAGGGCTTCGGCGACTCGAATTTGCCTAGGTCAGCACCTTGTCCCTTTCTTTCATCCTGGTACCATAAAGACACTGCTGAAGCGAACTTCACTAGATACAGGATAATTAGAAAGGTAGAGCTAATTCTAGGATAGGTGTCGCTCGGAACGGACCTGGTGTACACTTGCATTGTAGTCCGGTGGAACGAGCTTGAAGTCTTGAAGCTTGAACCCCAATATTGATTTCCCGTACTAATAAAACGATCTAACGGTTGCCTGCGATTTTTAGTCGCTGACCGATAATTTATACATATTCTAATTAAGATTTACAGATATTTAGTTAGTTTTCATTAAACGGTTGGTATTGGTTGGACGATGTTATGCTAAAATGAGTTTAAAGGATAATATAATTAATTATAACGCTATGTGACTTTATGACAAAGCTTCATCAGTCCTAGGGATGAATGACTAGTCGTATTTCATCGTTAGCTTTATTGGCAAATTAAGAGCTTTTAAAGATTGAATACTAGGATTTATTAGATAACAAAAATAAATTATTTCGAATGATGTATTTGTTTAATCGCTAATAGAAAGCCTAACGAAAACCAATTGATCAAAGATGGAATTTAACTTTAATCATTGTCTATTTGTATCGATTTCAAATTCGCTTTAATAACTAAGAAAGATAATAACTAAGAAATAAACCAACCCTACTACATCAATTATTTTATGAGGGTTAATTACGGAGTATCTTTCGTATGTAGAAACCATCAAGTTGGCAATATTGAAGTCTGTAAATGATATGCAGAACTCATGATATATGGAGAAGATACACTAGATAATCAGGACTTTTTTAATAGAGTCCAACCGAGTATGCCGAGTATTACTCAACTTAATAGATAAAATAATACTTAACAACTTGTATATTGCGTAATACTTCTTGTTTTTATGACACAACATTGATTTTGTGCCCTAAGTAATTCTTCAGTAAGAGACTTCTAGCCTTAATACATGAATCTGACAGAAATAGATAAAGACGCATGTTTGTTTTCGAAGTCTTCATAAACAAGCTCGTAGTCGCTCATCAAACAGAGCAACGTAACGACATCCCTCAAAAGAGATCAGGCGAAGAGAGGCACTTTCTTATGTCTATTGGTGCGAGTATATCCATGCGAAGGTCATTTCGACACTGCCGACTTTGAGTTACGACGGCTGTATCTTTGGCGATCGGCAAAACAACGTTCACGTGATGAGGACCGCTATGTAAGAAAATACTGTGCAACTTCGTATAGACAAAGATCCTCTGCCGTACGTGACAGGAGAAGAAGTTCTACCTCGTCGCACTTCAGTTGCATTGTACGGGTGTGCGTGCTCACGGAAACTACTCACAGCGTCTTGTTATTACTGTAGGTTTTATGGTAAGAGGTGTTTTTCATAGCGATACACTTTGCTGCTGATTATCTGTGCAAAAAGGTTGTGGTGAGATCAGGCTTGGGACCCATTGGGTAAAACAATACCCTAGGCGCTCAAGCTGTTTACATCTGTTTAGTTATTTGTCCTATCAAAACGGTCGATCGTATTTAAATGATACAGTCTTATCTTATCAATTTCACATAGAGTTCTGGTAATAGCATTGTTAGTACACTATTTTTATGACTTTAGGTAAAAAATGTCCATTTTCAATTTTTTATTGAGTGCCTGGCACTCAAATCATTCATGTATGTATAGAGTAAAGTGTATGTCCCTGCTAATAGAATATCCATTCCTAAAGGTACGTGGGTTTCGATCGAGACTTTAAATTTAAGGGAATACACCTCCTGCGTACGTAAACTCTAGTTCGTCAGTGACCGTGCGTCTTGTACAAAGGGAAACCAGAGAATATTTGGTGGGGTTGGAAGAGCGCATATTTAACATTGGATAGTAGCTGAAGGTAAATTATCATCCCTGAGCTAGTTCAATTGGAATTCAACCTTAAGACGCGTAAAATTTTATCGTGTACGCAGGTGCTGCTGGTTCCACGATATTACTAAGTCCAGTTTCAATAAAGGAACGAAGAGTTGATTTTACTTTGACATTATGCAACAAGTAGCATTAATTTTCCATAGAAAAAGAAAACAAACAAAGAACAGGATTTCTAGAGCAGTATAATTATATGGTTGTGGATTTGTATTTAAATTCGGTATTGTCGTCTATAACTACGTCAACAGAGACTGAAATCCTAATCTCTTATCTGATACTTCACTGCGGCAAGCATACGCTGCGGCGCCTTCAGATCATGATTATGTATTACCAGATCGTTTGTGACGTGTATAAAAATAGATTGTGCATCTGATGATGACGATAATATTAATCGTAAAATCAACCATTGTATAATAATAAGAATGTAGCGTTTTCGGTATATCTCTATTACGTAATGAAGACATCAAGTTAAATCCGCTTTTTTCATGACGGGACGTGAAGGGAAGCTGTCAGACTGCACGCGGGCTTTTTACCATAATTGAGGAGTAATGCGTCGAGGCGACAAATATAAGTAGATAAAATAAAAAAAGCTATAAATGGTTTCAAAATATCGTCATCGGATAGAGTGTGCAAACACTCGGCTATTGACGAAAAGCCCTAAACACTCTGCGCACATATATGATACTTGATGTCTATGAAAGGTTTACTGTTAAAGGGTCATTATTATAATACAGTAGCTAAACTATGATTTTTTCAGCAGTAGACTTTTCGTGTATGTATTCATTAATCACCAGTAACGGACAAGATCAGTATCGTAGTAGTAGTTACTTTATAGCGTATATAAACAACAAGTTTATTTGTAGTTCAATTCTTACCAAATATAACCCTACATAGAATGTTGTCCACAACATTTAGTTTTTTTTTTTGAGTAGATACTATTACTGCTACGCTTAGCGGTTGATAAATGGCGGACAATCACAAAAACCCGACAGGTATTTCAGCCCTAAGCTTACATTCTTCTAAATTTATTTTTTCCATAAGAAAACACTCTCTCAGATACAACACTTTCGCTGGCAACGTATTATTTGCCCGCTATTAGCTGCTAAGGCACAATACTAATGTTACCTGATCAGCTATATTTGATTTCCGTAATATATTTTTCAGCATTAGTTGTGACTTTGTTTGCTTGCGTTGCTGCTCCTTTCAGGCAGCCACGAAGGCTTTCTTTTTAGAAGGTTTTGGGGGAGGGGAGCGGGCCTGGACAGCTTGGGCCGCCCTTCTAGCGGCTGCCTACGAAGAAAACATAGCAGCAAGTAGAGGTTCCAATGCAGTGACTTGCATCACTGCAGGTGACTCCCCTTTATCAAATTTGCTAGGTCATCGATACTCACTTTTTCGATTTTTTTCACAGCATGCACTCCTTGGAATCGCCCTGTCATGCACCTGTTTACTGCGCCTAACGCAGCAGCTGTATAGTTGTCTGTGACGTTCTTGTTTGCTCCATAAGTTCTTTTGTGTACTTGTTTGTATAGTTCGCTTTTGTCGGAAACTTTTACCCCGTTTAAAGTGTTTTTCGATTGCGAGCAGAGTCCGCCGTTCCGTGGCAGTATCTAACATAAAAATTTGGAACAACATTAATTTAAATCTGTAATGTGTATTAGCAGGCGGTGTTGCGAGCGGAGTAGATCTCAGACTGACTGCAGCGTTACTACGTTTTGCAAACATGGCAAATAACCATTGTTAATCTAACGAGACCCCTATAAATGAACCCCCTGTTTTTTTAGTTCGTTACTTTATACAGCGCGGGAGTAAATTATAATGATATGTCGACTTGTTTACTAATGATGATACTCTGCTTCTTACACCGATACGGACTTCTGCAATTGATTTACTTTCGCGTCAAAATTATTACTATTATTGCATCTTCCTAGCCGAAGCTTCTTTAGGGGG